GTAGAGCATGGGATGGAGCTGCGGCATGTCCAAGGGGCACGGGGGCGGGGTATGAATGACACATGCCCCTGGCATGCACCTCCTACGTGTTGCCCCTGGGGGGGTGATCCTGCCACTGCGCACATCCTGGGAGGGCATGGGACAGGCTGCAGCTCTGGACTGGGACCAGGGCTGCACTGGGCTCTTTTTTTCCCCTGGGGAGCCAGCATTTTATTTTTATTAAGTTTTTTTTTTTATTGTTGATTTTGTGGATTTTGCAGACAATCCTGAATTTCAGGGTTTCTGCAAAATTCATGAAACCATGAGTTAAGTAGGTCCCTACTCATGGGACTCTTTTAAATAAATAAGAACCATTTGGAGCACACAAGAAAGGACACTTATACCAGTCAATCAAAATGAAAACTTGACCTAAGCCTAAAAAGTTTCCCATTGTCACAGAGCAGCAGTAAATTATATTTTATGGCTTGGTCCTTTAAGAGAAAAGGCAGAAGGCAAGAGAAACAACTTGAATTAGTACCAATCCTTGAATTTTTACTTAAAAAAAAGAAAAAGAAAATGAACCTTTTAGCTATGTTAGAGAGTATGGGAAACTCATCTACTCCCACTTGAGATGAAAGGCAGGGGATACTGCCTCCAAATAGTCAGAGGTCATGCTATCTGACTTATTACTTGTGAGGGTGGAAGATAAGTTAGACAGTTAGGTTCTTCTGTTGGTCCTTTTCTACTTCCAAATGGTACTTGTTTGTGTTAGTACCTGCAGCAAGAGACACATAAGCCATACTACCCTGGTAAACTACATATTCTATTGAATAATTTGGATGCTCAGGTCTAGCTACTAGAGAATACAGTAAGCATATTCACTCCTCAAAATACTCTTCCCTTGTTCCCTAGTACTGTACTTATTGGCTGGGCAAAGCCATAGGATGCAAGGAGACTCACACAGCACTAAAAGTCATATATTATAATAGCTACTGAGAAGAAAGATGCCCTCTTGGAATAAGGACAGCCTTTATGGATGAATAGTCAAGAATATTATGAAACGTGTTTGGATCATTAGAGGCAAAGTTGGAGTAGACGCAAACGGATATAGTGACAGATGCTTATCTAGCATGAGTGGATACAGCTCTAGGATCTAGCCTGTAATGGGGTAAAAGGTACTTATAGAACTGTTCTCCAGACCTTCAGACATTAAGGCTTTTGGAAGTATGCAGAATTTTTTAATAAAGTGAAAATACAATATCTGATTATGCATCTAATTAATATTAAGTTTTCAATCTAAGCAACACTAAATAAATATTAACTTCATGTACAGAATGCTACAGATGTACATTCAACAAAACAGGCTCCATACAACCTTTTCAGCATATATTAATCTCTACACTCATTTTAAGGCTGACCTCTGTTTTTAGCCTATTTTCAAAATAGCTTTATATTCCTTCACAGTACAGTAGGCAAGGCTTTTTAAAAAAAAAACAGGTCAAGTCAGTGAAATATGTGTATAGGTACAGATTACTACATCTAATCAAACTACCTAGCTACAAGCAAACCAAATTTGCACAGAACGACCTCCTTTCCCAAAAAAATAAGTACTGATAAAACAATTTTCAGGAAAAACGATGAGAAAATGGTAAAGGGAACAAAGTGACATAATTACCTATCTCCCTTTGGTTTTCTTTTTTGTACTGTCTTCCCTTTGGGTCGTCTCTCACTTCCTAAGCAGGGGCTCCCACCTGGGCCCGTTACCCGTATTGATTCAAGGCCTTTGGAAGATTTCTTAAAAGTAAATTCCACTGGTTCTCCTTCTTTTAGGCTTCTAAATCCTTCCATGTAAAGCTTGCTCTGCAAAAAGGAAAAATATACTTGGTTACCATTGCCTTAAAACTACATTGACAATAAAAACAACAGGACACCCCTTTTTATCCTGCTTTGCTGATCCTGTAGGCTACTGCTTGTGCTGGGGTTTCCTTAACAAGATGCATTAAAAGATGCAACAATTACAGACATGGGTAAAACTTCCTCCAAGCTCAATAAACAATTAGATTATCTTGTTTCAATGTTGTCAATATCCAAAAATATTTTCCTTTTCTGTACTGAATGATACGAATACAAGGCTGAAAAGCACATTCGAACAGTGGTAATTCTACACAATTCTTTGTAGAAGTTCTCTGAAGCTTCTGGCACTTTTAATAGAAAATGTGAGGAACAGCATGAGCAAATATTGCCTTCTTAGTCAACCTAGATAATGAACTCTAGTTTATGACTAAAACACAAAAGACAGGAAAAACTAAAAGATCAAATTTCAAACTCATAAAACTAAAGTATAGTGAGCAAAAAGAACAAAAATGGAATTACTAAACATAGACATTGGATTTTTGATACATTATAATCTGCCTGGCAACTAACTCCCCAGCCCAGCCGCTGGCTTCTTTACTTTTCATTCCATCCAGGAAGAGCACACACCAACTGATGAAACTTCCTTAGCTTGACGAAGGGTTTTTGAACTCAAAAGCTTGCTTAATAACTATTCTCCAACCATTTGGGTTGGTCTAATAAAAGATATCAAATTCACCCAAGGAACCTTGTCTGCCAAAGGGTAATTCAGGCATTTCAAGGGAATCTCAGACTTTGTGTAGAATACTAGTAAAACATGTCTGGTTAGTATAATTTCACTATGGAATTGTTCTTTCAACCACAGAAAAGCAAGTCATCACCAGGATATGGTAAAGAAAATAGCAATAGTGATGATCTTTCGGTATATATGGATGGGTTTTGGCACTGATTTCAGTGGAGCCATGTTATCCCTCATCTCAAATCTCCTAAATGCTGCTGAGCAATGGAGGCTACCAGCTCCATTGATTGAAACAACTAATCTATTTTGCCTGGATATGAATTCACTCACACAGGCAGCAGTATCTTCCAGCTTTTCAGCAGGTACTGAGAAACACCCCAGTAAGAGCACAGGATGTTTGACCCAAAACACCATATACATGTTTCCCAAGTCAAAGGCATAAAGCCAAGTGTTCCAAATAGGGGAGTTGTTGGACCACAGACTGTATTGTTCACAAAAGGCACTAGTTAGGCTGGTATGCACCTGTCTTTATTTCCTAGTGACTACGGAGATGGGTATAGCAGTACTTTCTGTGCATTTTTAACAATAAATTCATGCAGTTTTAAATTAAAATAATGCCAGCATACTAAACATTTTTCCAAGCCTTATATTTTAGAAAGCACATTGTGAGAGACTGAAATGTTATATACCGTATCTATTCAAATCCAAGATGAAAGGGTGGGGTGTGGGAGGTAGGGGGAAATGGAAGCAGCTGCTGCAGCTCTGACTCTAACCCTGACTGGCTTTCCCCACTTCAGTGGCAGGAAAGGATGAATTTAAGATGACCCCCCAACAATTAGATTCTATACATAGAAAATTATAAGAAATGCATACATTTTCCATGTATAGAATCTAATTATTGGGGGAACATCTTAAATTCTAAGTCATCTTGGATTTGGGTAAATGTGGCATTTCATTTTGCTTTTTTGAAAAAAAAGTTTTGTTAGAAATATATAAATGTTTTTATTTAGCAAAGAAGCACTGATAGTTTAAATGCATTTTACATTTCTCCACTTTAACAAGGCTTTTGTTTTCAAGTAATACACAAAACCTATTAAGAACACGTATTACATTTAAAAGAGAAAGCCATGGAACAGCTACCACACTTTGATAATCAGCTGTTAAACATGTGTAGTATTTTTTCACACATTCATTGCTTATTGTGTGAAGAGAAAAAACCCCACTTAGCTTCTCATTGTACCCTGCTTTAATACATCTCAACAGCTCCACAGTAATATAGATGGACATGGCACCAGTCTGATTTATCGTATAAATGCTCATTATGTTGTCAGCCAGGACATAAGATTCTTAGAGGATGCAGCCATGATTCTGAAGAATGGTGAAGGAAAATGGTCTAGAAACAAATAGGAAAGATGAAATGCCAACCATTTAAAATGTTTTTAAGAGATTTGGTTAAAAAATTTAAATTTCCAATATAAGATACATATAATGTCAAGAGTTTCCCTACTAGTTCATTATTTTAAAAGATAACATCCTATAATTATATCTGTGAATGTAAGCAAAGCTCTGAACTAAAGGACAATTCCCACTGATATCAGTGGGGCTTTGAATATATTTATCCCTAGTCACAGAAGTAGGGCTTGAGAACCAAACAAAGGAAACAACTAAAAAACAAACCAAAAACAACCCCTCCCTGCCACAAACTCACACATACTGCCTTTTCATTACAGTAATCTTCATTATTGCTATACTAGTTAGCCACTACACATAAGTATAATTTTTAATCTGACAGTATTCCTTTTAAGACACCTATTATTCTTTGGCATTACAGCCTATGCTGTAAAGTCACATACATCTCGAAACCTAACAATGGATCAGCTGCAAAAGCCTATGATTTCAGGAGAGTAACAAACAGAAGAAGATTTAATAACAAAGATAACATGTTCTTGAAAAAAATATCTCCTACCATATAAACAAAGAGAGGGAAATATACAACAAACATAGACCCTATTAGCAGAATTATCCTAAAAAAGAATGTTTTCTTGATGGTGTCAGTGGGTGCTGAAAACTCTCACTTAAACCCACAAAAGGGAGGAAATTCTGAGTTAAGGCCCTTTATGAGGATCTATTCTCCTCTTGATATGCGTGCGTAACTCCTATTAACATGGGAGTAGGAAGGGGAGAATAGGCTCCTATAATGAGCCCTAATTCAGAAGTTCCTTTCTTTTGTGGATTTCAAGTCAGAGAAACACCTGCTGATGCAGCCAGGAAATTCTTTGAAAAAATATTCTGTTTAGGGGTAATTCCTCTTAAATAGTTTATATTTTATGTATATACTTGTCCCTGTATTAATTGTTCAATACAATGTTCAAGTAAAATCAGTGTGCTCTATACTTTGCTGAGAGAAAGACAGTTTCCATCTCAAATTGTTTACCAGACCCAGACACTAACCAAATCAAGTACTGCAGCCTAAAAATGTTAAGGAATTTTCCCACCATGGATATAGTACCAGTACAACTCCAGCCATGCTAACAATGGTGGGAGCCCGTGCAGACTCACAGGACACAGCAAATCTTGGATCTCTACTAGTATGATCCTACCTGTGCTTAAACCAAAACCAGACTAATTCCCTTTTTTATAGGCAAGAGTGTCACTGGAGGTGAGGATATCTGGCATCAGTGGGATAAGCTGCAGATAATCATCCAAGAATTCAGTAGCTGACATTCTGAAAAGGTCCTGGGGAAAAAGTATTTTTTGGAGGGTTTTTTGGGGGGTTTTATTTTTAGTTTAAATGCTCCACTTAAAATCACCATATGAAACTATAAATTTCTGACCCCACCCACCCCCAAAAAAACCAAAACAAAACAAAACACAAACCCCAGATACTAAGGACAGTACACCTCTGTGCTAAGTTGTGATGGGGAGCAGAGAGTGCAGTAGGCCAAGTCTGGTGTGTTGGGGGTTGCAGCAGAGGAACTCAGGCTGCCCACTAGGTAAAGAGGAAACCCCTGTATATGGCTAGGGAACCACATGACCAGAAGAGGTGGGACTTAGGAGGTATATAAGCCCAGGGGCTGAGGCAAAGGGGGCAGTTGGGCCCTGTAGGCTGTAGGGAGAGGAGCTCCTGAGGAAGATAGCTGTAGGAGACCAATTGCTAAGTAGCTGAGTTGTCCCACTAGAGCTGGAAAGAGGAAGCTAAAAGGGAATTACAGCCTGTGGTGAGGCAATGACCCCAGAGCAGGGTGGATTTCAGTTTTGAACCAGGTTGCTTGCACTTTTTTTGCAATTAAGTGGGATTCTGGAGGACTGGACTGTGGCTGTAGGAGAAGAGGAGGCTACTGAGAAAGGTGCCAGGGGCACCTCAGGTCCTAAATCCTCCACAAGGTGGGGGGAGCACTGCAATCAACTGAAGGACTGTAGCCTGAGAGAAAAGACTGAGGGCAAAAGTCCAGAGCCCATAAAGGCTTTGGAGTGAGGGGCCTGGACCTGTGTTCTGTGAGCTAAGGGGGCAGGGGGAAGCTCTGATTTTCCATGACGAAAAAAACCCAAAATCAAATGCCAAAATTTATAGGTATTTAGAATTTATTTTACTGTAGTGATTGAGGCACTGGTAGGCTTCCAAATTCCTTTAAACTTGTAAATATATCAAGAAAACATTGTGTTCAATTGATATAGATATAATGGCCTTTCATTTTAATCATGGATTTGGGGGTTTTAATCAGATTTTTCTTTTTCTTTTTTTTATCAGGGAAAACCAGGATCCCTGATTTATCAGACTGCAAATCACCCTGTATACCACATGAATACACGGCACTAACACTCAACATTAACACATTTGTTTCCATTTATGCCAGCAATGAATCTGTCCTTGATCTATTCTGTATTGACAACAAAGTAAGGAAAGTGGATAGGTGAACAGGGCACTGATACTGAAAACATTAACATGTATACTTAACTGCATTGCAAAGAGGAGTCACCCAGAAATCAATGGAACTATTTGTGGTGGCAACATTATACATGTGCACAAGCCTTTGTGGGACTGGGGTCCTAATTCCATATGTTTATATGGATCTGTGTATTCATATCATGGAACTTGAATCCATCCATTACAAAAGAATTATGAAGAACAATTTTCTAGCCCTACACTTGTAAAAGAACCTATTCAATATAACCCAAGAATGAATGGAGTCTGTATTTAAGACAGCTGGCATACTCAGGAAAACAAAATAACAGCTCTTAGGGGACAGAGAATTACCACAATCTCTCAATA